GTCGTTAATACCTTCCAATCCGCATTGGGCCAGCGTGGAGGGTCATGGCCCATCCTCCTCCTTAACCATCCATAAGGAAGGCCTGAGCCCCTGCAGTGGGGACGTAAAAGGGCTGATGATGACATGCTGATTACAATTTTATTAAATGTACATAAATAAATAAATGTTAGTAGTTAAGATCACTGCTCAGATTTAAGATGAGCAGTTAAATACCTGGTATAATGAAGTACACGAGATAATGAAGATACCACCACGCCCAGACCCGATATAATATAGAAGAGTTATTTGTGCACATTGACCGTTAATCGAACTCGGAACCTCAAAGATGGCGCCTCCTTTAAGGTTCCGGATTCGATTCCCACACAGAACACAGAAAGATGTTTTCTGTGTTCTGTGGTTACGAAGGTCGTCAAACTTAGATGTTGTTCCTTGATAAGAACCTCATTTGGGAACGGCCTTACAGTAAGTATGACAAAATGTTCGTTAGCTTTATTTTTGTATATGTTTTGTTCGAGAAATATAAATTGCCAGAACAATTTAAAAAATAATACTTGTTCACAGAAAAATATAATAGAGGACTGATAAGTTTTTCCAGTAGGTATTTATAGGAATAGAGTATTTTAAATTATGAAATTATTTTTATATTCTCATATATATATAGTACTAGCTCTTTTCGCGTGGTTTCGCTTGCGTGGAAAACTTAACACAATAAAAGCTTTCCTATATGCTTTCCAATGGTCTACTCTATGTAAACCAACATTAAAATTGGTTCAGTAATTTAAGCGTTACTTTCGCATTTATAATATTATGTATATATTATAGTATGGATTCATATACGGATTGACATGTGACTTTCCTATCTAAAGTTGTTAAAAACACACACAAACTACCTTTTGCAGTCACAAACAATGAGTAAGTGTTTAAAAAATAAATGCGTACCATATTTGCTGGTCGTTTGGTAAAACAATGGGGCATTTTTCGCGCACCATAACGTCACTCTTCGCATAATGTTTGCGCACAAAATTTAATTGATTGAGCATGTCAGATTGTCAGCACTCCGAGCTGAGCGATTTATAGCTAAGCGAAATGTGGATTCATTGGCCGAACATTGAATTTTTGTACGTGATTCGAATTTCGAATAGCAATTACGTAATTTCATTCTTGAAGAGTTTTTTTGTGAGAACTTCTGAGTGTGTGAATTATTTATTAGTCCTCATCAGCTACTTTGAATGACTTTTATTTAAGAATACGTTATTGTAGCTATTAATGAATCCCTTTGAAAAGAGTTTGTATGCTAACGCCGTGGTACTTGTAAAAATACGTCTGCGCTGCCGAATGACGATTCAATTTAGTTCAGCTTATGCTATTATGTTATAAAATAGCGAACTCGTTGGGCACAGTAGTCTCGTTTTCGAATTTCAATTTATTAAAACCTTTATTATCAAAGTAGGTTTTATTTGATTGAACTTATATGTTATGACAGCGCTGTACTGAACATCGGGTTCAACGCTGTTTTTTTATATAAAAGAATACTACAACTATTGTGGTAGATTGTAAACGAATCGAACCGTTATTTCGTCAAAAGCGAATCTGCATTCATGTCAAGATAGCACATAATATTTAAATGAGTCAATTGAACCTACTGAATTACATACCTACAATATGGCGGCTTTAACAAGCTCGTCTTTGGGTTGTGGATTTGCCAGAAGATTTTGTTACATTGACTATTTTATTCTGGGCCGATTCTGCTGTTATCGAAATTAAATCGTTTCAATAGTGTTGCAATAATTACATTTTTTCACTGCATTAATCACCTATTGCCAGAAATTGATTTAATTATGACAACAGATGCTTTTGTGTTTTGCAATATACTAATAAGAATAGTATCAAAAAAGACTGTACAGCATGTGTGCAGGTAGATGGCAATATGTCGCCCTGGTTTGCTGTTAATATTGGTATAAGGTATCTTGTTTATCGTGTATCTCGAAAGTTATCATCAGAGAATAAGATCTATGAATGCGGTATTACAAATGGGTGATCTAGTTGTTAACTGCCTGCCGCATGCGGATGACATACAGAAAATGTAACTAATCTGCAAACTCTAGTCAACGTGATGAAAGATGATTGTATGTAGAAATGCTTAGACATAGAAAAGAGAGTGGGTGCTCAAAATAGTGCGAATGGAACGTTGGGAAAACTTCTTGGCAGCAAAACCTTAAGCCAGAAAGCGCAGCTCGCTATACACAATGGGGTGCTGATCCCGACGTTAATTTATGGTAGCGAGAGTAAGTCAAAATGAACATATAAGTAGATCGAACGCAGTCGAGATGCGTTCGTTACGTAGAATTTGCGGAGTAACGTTCGCTGACCGCATTCGGAATGAAGAGATAAGATTGAGAGTTGACTTGAAAGATAGCGTCGGTGTAAAAATCAACAGAAACATGCTCCGTTGGTTCGGGCATTTAGAAAGAATGCCGGATGAAAGAATGACAAAACTGATATGCAACGCAAAATTGGAAGGATGGAGAAGTCGAGGAAGGTCACGACATACATTTCATGATTAAATCAATCCCGTGCTATTAGAAGGTGATAACACCAGGCTGCATATCATGAACCGTGGTGGCTAGACAGTTAAAATTCTCACAGATGATGAACTTATGTTGCTGCTACAACAACAAATACTAAAAATAGAATTGATTGATTGATGACAAATGATTTTTCTTTGCGTTTATAGGTAATGGTACGGAACCCGTCGTCCGCGAGTCCGTCTTGCACTTGGCTAGTGTTTTATTCACGTAAACATTCCTATTGATGGAAATGTAATGACTACCCGCTGTTATAAACCGGATTGGGTATGTAAATATGATCGGATCGGTCATGAATGCGAAATTAGAATAAGTACAAATAGTTTCATTGTTTTTAACAATTGCACGCCAAGGTCGTGCCGCACGAGATACAGATGATGATTTGCATTCTCACATACTGGGCATACATTAATTGAATATAAATGTTGTCAATATTTTATGGACGGCGATGATCGTTCGCTTGGACTCACTCGTGCTGAGAATTATTTCTTCATCTTGATGGTGTTAAGAGAGCGCGAGCGGGCGGAGACACTTGAAATTTTGCACTATGCTTCCTTTTATAGTGTAGCCAGCACTAAGAAAGTCACTTATAATCTAAAAGGGCGTTACTTGAGGCGATATTTATATGAAACTTCGTTAGTTTTAAAGTAGAAATTTAAAAATCTGTAATAATAAAATATGAAGGAATTGAATTTCTTTAAAAGCTGAAATAGGAACCAGTTTTAGCATTTGAGGAAATTTTATACATTCATCACATCACCATCCTATTAATCTCCTTACTGCTGGGGCTCAGGCCTTCCTTATGGATGGAATCAAATTCAACCAACAGTATAATGAAAAAAGGGGGTTAAGTTTGTGTGGAGGTCAGTTGGTATTCATGTTATGAAACTTTATTTTTGGACTACTGATTATAAGTCAGTAGTATCTGTTCCAGAGAGTGTTCAAAATCATGTTATCTACGCGGACAAAGACATAGAATTTGCAAATGTCTCTATTTTGTCATTGACTAGCCCAGCGATTGTGTTTATTTTTCTATGTACCCTTACGCGCATCCGTTTTAGGGCTTTGATATCCTTAAGTTAAATTTATCTAAGACAGTTGAAAAAAGAAGATAAGGTTGGTACACGGCAATCCCTAAATATTATTCTAATAAATGTACAACAAAGCTATATAGAGCGGGTGATTGCACTCAAATGTAAGGGGAATACAAATCAAACAACTATTGTTGTACAGACCGATGACCTTAATTATTTGACTACTAAATACTCGGAATGTTTGTCAACAATAAACATGTTCAAAGAACTGACAAACTAAGTAGTTTTGGCCTCTTTCCTTTTACAATCACAAATAAAATTAGGCTTATTGCCCATTACTTAATGTGTATCCTATATTTTAATTTATTATATTTTCTATATTTTGCCCGCAGTTAAAACACAAAATTGCCTCTTTATATGTCATCATTATTTTTAAATTTTTCTTGTAATTATTCAAATTTTTATAAGAAAAATTTATAGATATTTGATCCACTTTGTGCAGCAATTTTATAATTATCGTAATAGTTTGCGCGTAATTAATTAAAATTAGTTTTTTCGCACAAATCGCTTTCCACTTGTCTTTTAAATCTATTGCCTTTACGTCCAGACTTAAATCATTATTTTATCCAACAACAAATTATACCTAACTACATTGTAATGTAAAGTGAGCTGAAGACCTACTTTTGTTACCATATGATGCAATAATGAATATATCTATCTACTCTGTTTATTGACGAATAAAAATTCTCAAAAAAAAACCTATTGTTATAATTTTTTATATCATACCCGTAAAGAATTATCTGAGTATAAGTGGTAGTTGCAGTGTTAGGTCATGAAATTATGGTAAGTACGTTCCTCTGGACTCATATTAGCGTTTTGAAAGTAGACGTATTTTTCTGGTAAGTACCTAGTTTCACGGAATGGACTACTATATATTATAATGGGAACCTATTTACCCTTTGTTTAGTATATTGGAAGAAAGCTGATTTTCATTGGCCATCTCTACGATTGAACAACTGGCGCAGCTGAGTTGGGTCTCAATTGTACTGTCGTTAACGTAATGAAATGGCGTCTCGATCAGATTTCAATACCATTTTAAATCTTACAGAGTATTGTTACTAGAATACAAAGTAACAAAATTATTGTCTTTGACTAATTCACTGACAAGATTATAATTATGGGTAAGTAATATCTATTGCTCGTAGTATGGTGAAGAATTTTAAAAAAATCCCAAAGTCAAATTAAGTAGTAATTTAAAAAAATGTAGGAAGTGTTCAATCAAATCGTCTGATATGCGTTTATTTAAAGTACAACGAAAACTTTCACATTTTTCCACTTTTAAATGAGATAGCAAATCTGATATAATCTGTAATACACTCACCATCTGCGGAAGCCAGCATATCATAAATAGCACAGACAGGGTTGCCATCAGTCTGCTAAAAGCAACTTCTTCGGCTGTTGCCGGATTGTGATTCAAGCTGGGCTTGCTTCCAGAGTTCATGCTCCTTTGACGACATGAGCTGCGGGAGACTCGTCGAACTACTGGCTGGCCACCCGCTCTTGGTGCCGTGATGGCGTATAGAGCTTGGATGACAGCCAGGTTGCAATACACCAGAATTACGCAGAGTAATGTACCTAGGTAAATTCATCATTAGTACAACAGTAGATTATAGTTTATTTATTCTGGGACCTTTACTATAGACGGAATCTTATCGGGATTAGCACCCGTTCTGTCTATTTATTTCCACCCATTACAGTATGAATTGGTAGCTGTTAACGCCTGAAGGTGTGTGGGGACCAACAGCTTTACGTGCTTTTTGAAACCAATAAGTAATTAATTTTTTTGGTCAGTTAAGCCATGACCAGTTTTTGCAATAAAAGTTTCTTAACCTCGGCATTAATTCACCGAATGTGCTAATATAAACTAATGGAGTCACAGAAAATAATTTTGTCACAAAAAAGATTTGGAAGATTCACAACAAGGAAACATGTTTAGAAATAACTCATGTTAATATTATGTATTTTTATATGACTTCTTCTTTCGTCAATCGTGAAAGAAGTAGGTAAGAGGCCAATCTGTTTTCCGTTTGTGTCTCTAAAAGTAAAAGGTTCACTTACCAAAAACCACGTAAAAGACAGCATAAGCGAAGTCGACGGAGTTGACCGCGTTTCGGTATCTAGTACACTGTCCTTTCTCCTCATCATAGTATAGGCCCAGACCGAATATAGGCGCGCAGGTCATCACCGCTGCCCAGAACCAGGACACAAGCAGTGCCAGGCGGATGACGAAGTACGTCACTTGCTGGAACAATTAATATACCAATATGACTTCTTCTGAACGAATGGGAGAATAGGGAGAAAACATTTTTTGGACGATTCAAAAGTTCTTGAAACAAGCTTACTTGAATAAAGTCATTTTCATTTAAGCAATTTTTAGAGTTCCGTAGTAAACAAGAAACACTTATAAATTCGCTATGTCCGTCTGTCCATCCGTCCGTGTTCTAGCTTAAAAACTATTGGTACAAGAAAGTTGTAATTTGGCCTGAGCCTTATATACTTTAATAACGCCGAAAAAGTGTTAAGTAAAATAAAAAAAATAAAAAACTATTATATTTCATCAATTTCGCATTCACAATGCTATACTGAAAAATATTCTTAATGAAATATGTTTAAAAATTATCAGGATGCCAGCGACCAAGTGGATTTTTTTAGAAGTTTTCATTAAAAAAAAACTTTTTAGGGTACTTCCCCTACATGTAAAGTGGGGTTGATATATATTTTTTCGTTTTCCCTGCAGTGTAGAGCATCGTTGGAAAGGTCTTTAAAAACACTGTAGGTCCGTTTTTCGATTTAGCAAATCGTTTGTGATTTATTAAGCTTTAGAGTGCTTATTTTCATTAGACCAACTAAATGGTCGTTGGTAAAAATTCAAACGCTACGACAGTAGTACATACATATATATATATATAACGAAGTAACTAAAGTTGGCTTTAAAAGTTTACGAGTAATAGTCAACCTATTGCGATTTTTTTTACCCATTTTCGATGGATGGATGGATGGATAATGGTTCGAAACTCTTCGTGCGCGATTCCGACTCACACTTGGGTATTTTTAAGCGTCATAAATTCATATACGACTTCAGAAGTTTATTAAACAGATCTACATGGTAGTGTAGTACACACAATAAGTAGTGGCTTTTACATTTTGTTCAATAATAAAAACAGTTGCTAACTGCTGGGATATAGTGGAATTGAAGCTGAATTGATCCAATGAATAGTGGAATTGAATAAGGTAAACTGGCCACAAGCCCCCAAAAGGGTCCAGTGCGGAATGGTAGGTGTTAAAAACAGCAAATGCAATCTAGACCAACGGCTTGATATGCCTTTCGAAACACAAAAAAACTTCGAGATAGTAAATTTTTGATTGCCCGTCCAATATCTGGTCCTTGAACAGACCGAATGTTTTTTCCAGATTCTAAACAATTATGTATAATTAAATACTAACTTACATTAATTGCTATGAACTATTTCATTGTATATCTGTCATTGTGAGAATAGATATGTCGCTCCCATTACACTTGCGTCAGAAATACATATTACGCGAAGAGAACAGATTTGTAGTTTTGTTTGTAATGAATTAACTCAAAAACTAATTAACCGCCTTTTAACCGCTTTTAATAACTATGTCAACATCGTGCTATATTATCAGAGAGTAACATGGAGCCGTATTTTTATCCTAAATCTCCCACGCTATTGTAACAGTCACAGCAGAGCATGGATAACTAGTACATCATATTTAAAACATATGATTCTGTATGGTTGAATCGAGTTTATACAATTCATTACATTTTTACAAGTCTAACGAGTTAGTGTTGGTCAAATTTTGCAAGCTAAATTTGACACACTTCTCAGTGTTTGCTTGAGCTGAAATTTTGCATACACGTATAACTTCAATGAAAATAAATAAATAGTAATAATTTACTCTCAAATTACATTGTTCCATATTTGGTAAGCATTAGTATTTCATTTAAAGGTAATTGTTAGCGTATTATATCCAGGACTTATGATGGAATTGTATGGTGGTTATGGGAATGTGTGTGATTAAATAACACAATCTTTTCGAGTTTGGACTCGTTTGATTTGTCTATACATGTTGTTCAATAAAAGATTGTTTTTAAAATAAAATTTTAATTCTTCATTTAGTCTACGTACAGAAGCTTTTCTTTTCTAAAGAGAACTAGTAGCTCGGTGGCGTAGTGGATAAGCGCCGCGGCCCGCGATCGTTGTCGTTAAGCAACTTTCGCAAAGATCGGTCACGGGATGGATGATCAAAAAAAAATATATTGTCTCGAGCTACTCCGTGCTTCGGGAGGCACGTTAAGCCGTTGGTTCCGGCTGCATTTGCAGTCGTTAATACCCTCCAATCCGCATTGGGCCAGCGTGGAGGGTACATGGCCCATCCTCCTTAACCACCCATAAGGAAGGCCTGAGCCCCTGCAGTGGGGACGTAAAAGAGCTGATGATGATGATGAAAGAGAACAAAGAATTTTATACAAAAAAAAAAGAAATTTGTGTTAAATACTAATTTGGTAATTATTTGATTTTGATAAATAATTAAATAAATGTAATACCATAGTATCTTAAAATTATGAAAGGCAGAATTCCAATATATATTTTAAAGTCGGTTGGTGTCAACGAGAATGTAACATTAGTCAGATATATAGAAATGTATTTCTGTGGTTAGTTTCACAGGAACATATTCATCAATAAGTTTTATAAGGCCTAGTGTCACTATAAATTCGCACTCTAAACATTTAATTACATCACGGCCAACTCGTGTGCAAAATTATTTTCACCTAGCATACTAATACTGAACGTTCGGCAAAACAATTTTAGCGGACATCCTCTACACAATTAGTATCAAAATCTACTATCAAGGAATGTTAAACACGAATAACGGTATATTTAAAGAATATTTACAACTGATTCGAGATTTGCTACTTTTCAACAATCTATGGCAATGGATTTAGCATTATACGTCGTTAATCTTAATTAAAAACATTAGCCATCGCTAATGTAATGGCTATCAGTGATAATTACATTACGGAATCGAAGAATGAATACGCCAAATTACAAATTAAATTAGCATTAAGTATTCCAGAACTATTCAATCAAGCTGAATATGTAAAGTTGATCGGAATGTATAAAATTCGGGGAAAACTAAAATGGGTCGATATTGTAAGGTCTTACTTATCTTCGATAGATGGTCTTTGATGGTTTGGGCCCTCTTTACTTGAATCTTTTTAAATAAGATTATCAGAGTTAAAGCAGTCGCCATGGTCGAAATAGGTGGGAAGCATCATCACCAAAGTCTTATATATTAGCACTTGAGGAGTCATTCCTGGAGGGACAGAATATGTGTAGAGAAAGTGGTGATTGAAATTCATTTAATCACGAAAGGGATTCTTACCCGTAACTGTTTAGCGACTTCTCTATCAATTGAGCTACCTGAGACTCGAATTTCTGATGTACTTTGTTATTTTCGCCAATGGATTTATTTTCATCATTGTTTAAGTACACACGGGCTACAAATCGAAATGGGTTTAACCATCAGATGCAGCTTGAATTTTCCTATCGGATAGTGCATGTAACTCATTTTTGTAAAAATTATCAGTTAACAAGTTTTACCAGCATAGGTGCGATTTGCAAATCTCCTCAATTGATTTTGAGCTCTACCCACAATACATTAAAGTGTAAAATCCAATGGAGAAATTTGATAGTTTTATATAGCCTGACGTGTTGTTGAAGAAATGTTTATAAAATTTTCGACTTAGAATAAAATACGATAATATTTCGATATTATAATCCCATAAAAATTCATATCACATAAAAAAGCATTACGGATGCAACAATCAAAATAATTTATTCTATAGTAATTTTCTGACAGAGTGATAAAAGTAGCATATAAAAATAGCAAGGAATGTATCAATTTCATTTGCAGGGTAATCGGGAATGTAAATGTATATTGAATGGTAAATATCGGGGAATAGGTAAATAAGATGATCCAGGATTACGTAAATATGTAGGTCGAAACATTGGGAGTATGAGGAAATGGCGCATAATTAGGATAACGTTTATCTTTCTTCCTTTGTACTACAGTTTAATAATGTCTTTGTAGGTATAGACTTTGACTTACTCCAATCAAAGATATTTTTTTTTAGATTATAAATATCTATACATTATATGAAGCAAAGTCGCTTCCCGCTATTTGTTCGGTGAGATAATTTACACTACACAACAGATTTTAATGCGTATTTCATCTAAATACACCGCGATTCAAGAGGAATGTTTTTATATATAATACATTAATGTCGTTTCCGCCGGCGGAAAACTAGTATAATAAGTTTTAGATATCGTCTCATATAATTACTGCTCGTATTCCAAGATAAGACGTATATAATTTCGAACAAAGATATCAAATGACAATACACAATGACGAAGTATTAAAAAAAATATTAGTTCCCGAAATCAAACTAGACGTCGCTACGGTACCTTTTTGATTTCTCCATGACAACCCTTCCGGTTTTCTTCCATGTATAAAAGTAAATTAATTTACAAAACTCAATAAACAACTCATATTATATTTGTACTTTTTCGTATTTGTATTGATATCTAAGTTTCGAACTTAACAAATTTCAGATTTTTAATCTTAGTTATATAAAAAGAAAAGTTAGTTAAAAGGAACGGAAATGACTATCTTTGGTCCATTCGTTTCCTGCGAAAATCAACTCTTGGTAGAGAACCCATCTAGTGAGGCGCTCTTTTAGTGCTTTCTTTTTTTCTTAAAATCCTTTCTCATTTGTTACAAATGTCTAATTAGAGTTTCTTGTTATCTGCATCTTTTGGTTTATTATCAATTGTTAAAAGTCTATGTAAGTCTTCAAGTAACTAATGAGTGATCGATTTATTTCCTGCAATTTAGGATTTGTCGTTGAAAACATATTAACGAAGGCTTTTTTTAATTTAAATTACAATTTTTCTTTAAAAAAAAATCCTCCAAATATTGATAAATTGAGACAAATTTCATAAAAACTGCTTTAATTTTACAATTTTCTTGACTGGGCGGGTTTACTAGTATTATTACACATTTTTTTTACTACAAATGGATAAAGCTAATATTTTTATAGTAATCTATGGAACGAAACAACGAAAAGAACAAAAATAACTTTGCGAGTGTTCCATATTATTTAATTTTCCCAAGTACCTCAAGGTCTGCCGTTTATGATAAGTGCTTGGACTTACA